GCGGAGACCCTGCGCCCCTCACCCTGCTTCTGTGCCCTGGCCTCTGCTCTGCCCTGCGCTGCCCTCTCCCCTCCCGCCGGCACTAATGCCAGACGCCTGCGGGAGGTCACGTACTGCGGGCGGCACCGGCACCGGAGTGTCCCCGCAGCATCGCGGTTCGTATCCCCCCCCGCTCTCCGCCTCACACCTGAGGTGCGGGTGAGCAGCAGCCCGGACTTCCTGCTGGACACAGGGCGCACGAAGAGTCTTTCCTATGTCCAGCTAAGATAGGGCCCCAAAATAGTTTGTTGCAAGCTCTTCCTAAAAAAAAACCCAAAACCTCTTAGTTCCTCATTCCAGCTTTATGTCTCACTTATAATAGCACTATTAGGATTAAAGAGAGCATTAATTCAGTATTACTTGAATTACTTCATTCAGAAATTAACTCTTTTTTCTTCTTCTTCTTTGGTCAGCTATAAGTTTTCCTTGCTTTCACTGTCACCCTAAAAATTGTTCTTGAGGGCCAGCAAAAGAAGTAGAGGCCATCCCAATCTGGGAGTCAGGGTTTAAGCAGAAGTGAAATAGGATATTTTGCTTTCATTGCATAACATAAATGGCCAAGGTTAACAGTCTCCAGCATGGAAAGCAAGTGAAATTACAAAAAACAAACAAACAAACAAACAAAAAATTAAAAAAAAATTATAAACACAGGTTTTAGTGGGACTGACTTGAAAAATTCCATCTACAGATTTCGTTTTGTATCTGTTGAGAATTGTTTGACAAGCTCCACTACTGAATTTATTAAATCATAATTAGCAGTCGTACTTGCTGACAGCAGAGCTGTGGCACAACACTTATCTCAGGTTTTAAAAGCAGATTTTCATTAGTACAGTTTAAGTCCCGGGAATTTAACACATTTTCCACATTGATCACTTTTTGGAAATAGAGAGTGGAAAAATTATTTACATCTATACCGATGCTGTTGTAAGTATAGCAGATACTGTTCATAGCATTAATAATAAAAGCATTGTAAAGGTGTTTTCAACATAACAGTGTGGTCATAAAATAATTCATTTTGCACACCAGTGAGGCTAGGCTGACTAGAGAATTTACTGCCTCTTTTCCTATCTGTAGCAGCCTGGGATAGCACCTCTGCTATCATAGTCAGTTTTGAAGAGATCTGTTAAAGTTCAGTGTCAAATTAATTTTGAATCTAATCAAGATTTGACTGTTTAACTCCTCACACTTTGGAAATCAGAGGTGTTAACTGTGCTCAGCTAAGTGCACCTTAACCTCTGTTCCCTTCCACTATGCCATTTCCATTTGAATTCTCTATATTTTTCAAGAGATTCATAAATTTAATCACACACACATTAGAACTGTGTGTTTGTTGGGTGATACTTTCTGCTTCGAGATGAAGAAAGCAAAAAGGTAGAATGTATTTTTGTTTCAATACCTTTATCAAAATCTTGACTATACTAACTTTAAAGTATTGCATCTTATTCTTCTAGCAGTTAAGAATCTTAATCACAGGCTAGGATCTCATTGAGCTGCAAGATGTAGAGGCCCTAGACAAAAAAACACATCATCTCTTCCACTCCCCCTTATTATTGTCTAATATTTTAAGAAATTACCAGTGTAGTAGAGTATTAGCAGTAGAATTGAGTCATGACCACATACCAAGACTTTTTCCTAGGCCTTATACCAGGCTCTCAGTCAGAGTTTTCCTAAGCATGGTCCATGACATAACCATGCCTTTTAGAGTGAGATTCCCAGAATTAAATTATGAAATCCGTGTTTTAATTCTTAACAACTGGCCTGACTTTTTAAAGCTCCTCAATGAAAATCAACCCATCTTGCATTCATTTCACGATTCATTGTTGACTTTATTGCTGTAATCCCAAAGAATTCCATTCAAGGGCCAAGATCTCAAAGCAGACATCAGTGTATAAACCTCGAGCAGGTCTTACTCCAAAGGGATAAGATTCTAAGTAGGTTGAGAGAACTGATGGATACAGAGAGAGACAAGCAAATGAAAGGTCAAGGAACTAAGAATGCCAAACAGTGGATACAACATGTTGGCCCATTATCTTTAAAAGAGGTCTCAAGTGAATCAAAAATCTGTCTCATTCAGTACTGCAACTAGAAATCACCACGGTAATCATGTTTGAGAGGATATGATTTTGTACTTATTACATAAGGACAGTCCTGACTACTTGAACCGTATCAGTAGATCTTTGTGTATGTGGCCCAAATTCACAGTTGTGCATGCAAAACAAGTAGTTGCATATATAAATTCCTTTACACTTTCTCCTTGATTTCACAAGAGCAACTGTCAAGTGAACAAGAAAGTTCAAGTTTTGAGTGGACAAGAAAATAAAAAAAAAAAATAGTGATTGTGATGTTATTCCAGATGATTATAGTGTCCCAAGAAAAAAGATTTGTATGATAAATTCTGTAACTCGGCCAAAAGAACGTACTTGCTTCCTTTCAAATTAACCCAACCAAATGGTTGCTGGGAGCAGCAGAGCAGAAAGGAATAAAACACGTTCAGCAGATTAAATTACCAGGTATTTCACATTCTCCTTTAAGACAGTCCTATCACTAAACCCACAGTGATTAACAAACACATTCCACTTGTCTATTGCCTTCCACATTTTTAACTGCAGGCATTGGAGCATGTCAATGCTCGGCTTCTTGAGCTGTACCCTGATGATGAAGAACGATTTGATATTGTCCTGATGACTAATAACCATGCCCAAGTGGGAGTGAGACTGATAAACAGCATCAATCACTACGGTAACTGAAATAAATACTACCTTGTAGAACTGCATTCAGTAGAATAAGTTCATTTTATTTTTCCTGTTCTAGACTTGGTAAAAGCAGCTTCTTTGATACTGACACCCATTCCTCAGAGGATTATATTTATTTTTGGGAGTAAGCATAGGCAGGATAGTGCTAAATGAAATTGGGTCCAAAGCTCTAGATTTAACTTGTCAGGTGTGAATCTTAATTTCTGATAAGTCTTTAAACTTTCTGGGTTTTGGTATTATGCCCCCTATAGATATACCTGCACTGCAGTTATTCTGCTCTCTTAGAGGGACTTTTGGTTTTAATTCTCAAGGAGGAGGGGCTGACCAAAGACTGTAGTCAGTCTAGTTGTCCAGCTTGTTGAAATTACAGTGAAGATATATTTCTTTTCTAAGCTAACTGTCAGCTATTGTACCTTTTCACAGGTTCCTTTTACAGGTTTGTATTGTCCAGGCAGAGTCACATCTTGTGCTGTTCTTAATTTAGGCTTAACAATTGAACGTTTCTGTATGACGGGAGGAAAAAGCCCTGTTGGTTACCTGGCTGCATATCTTACCAACCTGTACCTCTCAGCAGACTCTGAAAAAGTGCAGGAAGCTATAGAAGCAGGTTTGAATTGACTTTCTTCTCTTTTCTTTTGACTGAGCACATTAAAAAATTAATGTGTTGTGTGTCTTTCACAGAAAATATTGCTGCTTCATCACATGCAGAAAGTCACAACCTGTATGGTGCAAACTTACCACTTACTTTAGTTAATGAAATAATAACAGGTTATTTCTCTGTATTGTTCCACTCTGACCCTTCAACCTGCTGCTGATGACTTAATCAGCCTCTACTTTTGTCACACCTTTTGGTCTTCTCCCATGCTACAGGAAATGAGCTCCCATAACACCGTCCCTTCAGCGTCTGTTTCAATAGAAGTGATCTTTGATATTACTTAGAAAAAGCAACTTCTGTGCTTTGTCAGGAGTAAAAAAATAGCAAATAGTTTGATTCAGTGATATCCTTGGAATTTCCTGCTTTGTCTCATTTGCAGCACACCTTGCAGACCATTTTTGTATATTCTTATGGGGAAGTGGAAGGAAGCATGTCTAAGAATTTACATCGATGGGTCTGCTTCCCTACATAAGTTACAGCCATTACAAATTAGCTTTAGTGATCAATTTTGCTCACTCTACAGAAAGGTCACCACAAATAAGCTGTTGGTACCCAGCTGCTGACAGTTTAATGAATGCTAACTGAGGTTCTCTGATCCATTTTCAGGCATTGCATCAGCCACAATGTTCACTGCCAACAAAGACGTTCCTTACTCGGACACGCAGTTGCGAGTGGCGTTTGATGGGGATGCAGTTCTCTTCTCTGATGAGTCAGAACAGATTGTCAAAGAGCAAGGATTAGACAGGTTTTTTGAACATGAACAGCTGAATGAAAATAAGCCTCTTGCACAGGTTTGTCCTTCTTTGAATGAGTCTGCTTTCAAAACATCTGTTAATTTTCATGGCTGCTGTTTCTCCAGTTTCCCCAGCGTGTATTTATCCTTCTGTGTGGAAGCTATTTGCCATATTTATTTTCTTTTTCAAGGATAATCTTTAAAATACATATTTAACATAAAAAGGCCACCATTGCAGTCCTTTCACCAGATCTCACACTTCACTAGGAGAACTGCATATATAAGGCAGCAACTTTCAGATACAATTTTGATTGTATTATTAGGAAAAGAAAAGGCTACTATTGATTTCCTTGGATATTCTGGTTATTGAAACAGGGTAATATATCTGTGCTTAAGTCCAAAGCAGAGCTATGTCATCTGTCTAAAAACTACAAATATTTTACCATTAGCTTGAACAGAAAGATGAATTCTGTTACTGTTACAGTATAAATTCAAAATAAAAACTTGATTTATGAAAGTACTGGACAGTGCAATATGTTGCAGTTTTATCTGAACTATCATTTACTTCTTTTAATCGGAGTCTAATTCTAGTATTATCCTTAATCTGGAAGGATTTCAGTGATGACTATGTAATTAAGTCTTCTTCTGGTTTTTGCACAGACAAAAATTTGCAACTCATGTTTCATAATAAAAAGAGTTGTCTTTTTAAATAACATTTTATTAATGCTAAGGACTATAGTTACAACTTTATATTGTAAGAGATGTTGTAAACCTTAGTAAGAATCAGTTTCCTACTAATCATGCCAAGTAGGATTATGGTTTTAACTTTTTTTTGAATTCCTAGTGAGGGTGCAGACCCATATAGACATAAATGGGTCTCCATTATATAGAGAATTTGCTGAGTAATGTAGCATTGGGTAAGGAATCTTTTTTTGTAGTGGACAATCTGCAGCAAAGCAAAATAATTACTTGGGGAGCTATGGACAGATACTAATTATGATTCTGATACTTCATATTCAGGGTCCTTTGAAAGGTTTTCTGGAAGACCTGGGGAAACTCCAGAAGAAGTTCTATGCAAAAAACGAACGATTAAACTGTCCCATAAGGACCTTCCTGGTCACAGCCAGAAGTGCGGCGAGCTCTGGAGCCAGAGTGCTGAAGACTCTTCGTAGCTGCAGACCCATTTAGACATAAATGGGTCTCTATTATATAGAGAATTTGCTGAATAACATAGCATTGGGTAAGGAATCTTTTTTTTTGTAGTGGACAATCTACAGCAAAGCAAAATAATTACTTGGGGAGCTATGGACAGATACTAATTATGATTCTGATACTTCATATTCAGGGTCCTTTGAAAGGTTTTCTGGAAGACCTGGGGAAACTCCAGAAGAAGTTCTATGCAAAAAACGAACGATTAAACTGTCCCATAAGGACCTTCCTGGTCACAGCCAGAAGTGCGGCGAGCTCTGGAGCCAGAGTGCTGAAGACTCTTCGTAGCTGGGGTCTGGAGATTGATGAGGCACTTTTCCTAGCAGGAGCTCCTAAAGGACCAATTCTGGTGAAAATCCGCCCTCACATTTTCTTTGATGACCAGATGTTCCATGTTGAAGGAGCACAGAAATTAGGCACCATTGCTGCCCATGTTCCCTATGGTGTTGCTCAGAAGTACCACAAATCTACTTGATTGGATGGCACCATTAATGATAAAGTTCTTAATTCAGCCAGCCTCTAATTTACCTGTAGTTCTGCCTGAAAAACTCTACATTCATATATCATAAGCACTATATTTAAAGATTTAAATTCTGGCTAGAACAGCTTTAAAAGGAAATATTTTTAATATTGATAGGGTTTAGTAGTTATTTATTAGCATTCTTAAGCAGTTTAGGTTTTTTACCCATCTGGATCTAACACTGTTTTTAATATTAGGAAAAGATTTGTACTGGTTTTATAGCTTGAGATATATTTTCAGAGACAGACAACAGTTATATTTTTTTTCTAAAAAAAATGTTGACAGGTTATTTATAACAAAAATCATACTGCAGTGCTAATCCTTGATGGTTATTTCTGAAATTATCGAAAGCAGTTTAGATGTAAGTGTCTACCTGCTGGTGGTCTGCTTGTTACCTATGTGTTCAGTAGGTTTGTTATCACAGGGTTTTATCTTCCAGTGAAATGTTAGCTTATTTCATCTTGTGTTTACAGGAACCCTATATTTTTCTATATTGTTTTCCTACTCTAATAAAGCTGGCTGTACAGAACATTGTCATTTTTCTGTGTAGAGGTTTTAGCATAATTGCCTATGTAGAGTTTGTGTAATCAGTGTCTCTGTGTCTCTTGCCTCCTTTGGGTATTTAGAACCAGAAGTCAGCACTTTCAGCCAGACTTGAAAGAAAGCTAAAAATCTCAAAAATACTTAAGACACAACAGAATTTGTAGAGTTGGGTGGAAGTCAGAGATGCTGAGAGTATCTTGATTGGGACAAAGACTGAAGCTTTAGAACATACATCTTTGTAACAACAGAGAATCTACCCTATGTAATGCTGTTGTTGGAACTCCTTGTTTCTTGAATGGCTGACTTAGCGTTTACATCTGTTGTGTGATCTGCATGAACTCAGTTTTGCAACCTCATATGAGATTCTAGGGGACAGGTGCCTGTTGCAACAGGAATTCATATAAATTAACACCATAAGTCTATTCTACCTCTTTTATGCTAAGTTCCTTTATCTCAGTGTCATCCATGTATCTGAGTGCCTTCCAAATGACACAACTAACATCTGTCAGGTGGTGTTTGTTCTCTTTCTCTCCCTAATGGAACAAGTGTCCTGTGTTATTTTTATTGTTGCTGTGTATTTATATCAGAAGAGACAAAACCAAAAGAATGTGCTTTGTACTGGGAGTAGAAGCTGGTGAAGGCTTGTGATGATCTGTGGTTCCTGAGGGAATTCATTCCAGAGTCTCACATTAGTTTCTGAGAAGGTTTGGTCTCTTTTGTCCAGATGAACTGTCCCGATATTGCAGAAAACATCATAGCATTAATTGTGGTTTCCCTCCCAGAAACACAGACAATCTTTTATATGTTCTGGGTCCAAGCCACAAAGTTCTTTGAAAACAAAGGCAAAAGCCTTGATCCCACATGGAACTCAAACAGAGTCCATTTGAAAGGTTTTCATGTGTTCACACCAGCATGTGTTGTTGATGGGATACACTGCAGAGTTCTAGTGTACTTGGAATTTCGTAAGTGCTAAAGGCTTTGTGCCCAAAACGTATCACATTCCCCAGCCCAGCCAGGAGGTGAGGAAGACATGAATAACTGAGGCCTGGTCGTTGTCTGCCAGGATGGGATAGAGCTACCTAGCCAAATGGAGATTATAAAAAATGTTATTAGCAGATGTTTTTATGTGAGAGCTCAGAATCAGCAAGGAATCAAAAAATATTCCTTAGCTGTGGACTATAAGTTGTGTGTGTACCTTCACGACAAAAGCACGGCTGCAAATTTCAGGAACACTGGTCCTGCCTTGTTGAAGCAGAACAAGGACCAGCCATTCCTTATCCACGCGTTGCTGGAGCTGGAGAGGATGGCTCCATGAAAACATAAAGCATATATGCTGTGCACAGATTGCTGGCACTAGAATCTCATTCAACATGGCAATTCAGGCTTGATACTGATAAAGGCTAATTGGGATCCTTGATCCCTGTGGGACTCCAGAGGTGAGTGTCTCATGTCTGACAGGGTAAGCACGTAAATTTGTGAATAAATTGGATATTGAATCATCTGGTCTATTATGTTTACTTCTACTTCCAGTCAACCATCCACCTACAGCAAAAATGAAACCTACTGGCCAGGACATAGTTAGGAGCTTCCAGCTCTTTTTTGATCTGTACAGCCATAGTACTGGAGGACTACCTCTTGCAGTGTCACTTCTGACAGCACTAAGGCTTGTGTGAAGAGAAAAAGAGTTCATAGATTAGATTTCCATGGAAGAACTTTCATTCTTAGCCATAGAATTCAAATTGACGTTCAAGTCCGGAAGTTGATGCTAAGGTCCCCAATCACTTCCCTGAAGTTAGTTGAGCACAATGCTCTCAGGTGTTTGTTCAGATTATATGCTGCCTTTTAATTATCAGGCAGCTGTCCCAGGCTTGACAACTGCTTTTCTGGATATCCAGCTGGCAGCACATTTGATGACTGGAGCCTCATTCATTCATGCAGGTGTCTTCCAGACTAATCTGGATGTCTGGGGAGACTTGGGCTCGCCAAGTACTCTCTACCTGTTACAATTGTTGCCTAAAACTCCTGGGTACGGCTTGGCCAATGGACCAGAATAATAATTTTCAAGAAAATTTTCTCAAGTGGGATGGGAGCTGAAGGGAAGGGTTTTCTATTTTTGTAGACATAGACCAGATATGTCTCTTAATAGCATTCCAGTCCACAAACAGCAACAAAACAAAAACCAAACAGCAGCAACAACAAAACCCAACAAAAAGCATCTTGCTTCTCATGTTCATGAGGATACCATGAGTTTATACCGTGGCACCTCATAACCCTAAGCCTGTCACAGTTGCAACAATGGATAACTTTTCAGTGGGGGAGTAGAAAGAAGTCCTATAGTTCTGGACTGTACTTTCAACCAGCCTCTTCATAACACTGTAAGATAGACTCATGAAAAAGAAACTGTCATCACAGCCAAAACCTAGAAGAGGATTAATGATAACACAGACTGAATTCTGTGCAGAAGCAGAACTTCGTCAGGCAAAGCCAGTCCTTGTTCCCTTAACTTACAGGTTCACACACCACATCACAGTGAAGGGTCTAGGCAAGAAAAATGGGAATGTCTCCTACTGCTACAAGTCCTCATAGACAAATACATTGGAAATAAGATCCTGAAGGTGACTGGACTGGTTTTTTTTTATTTTATTTTTTATAGAACATATCCTCAGACTGTGCTGGATACCTCCCACAAGCTAGCAAGATATAAACCCATGTTCCTCAGTTCCTTCACACCTCCAACACATCCTTTAGGTTTCCAGGCTAGCATGTCATGCATAGTGAAACAGCTATCTGCAAGAAACAAAATATTTCAGATGAAGATTTGAAGATGGTCATCATCACGTGTTCCAGCATGTGTCCTCCTGTGTTCCTGGACTGTGACCTGTTCTAAGGATCTGGGAATCAGAGGGCTCCTACCTGCTGAGGAGGATCCCCAGGTACCCCCTGCGGGCTCCTCTGTCAGATCCTGTACCCCGTACTGGCGTGCAGTATCACTAAACAACAAACCCATCTCGAGTGCAACAGCTGGACAGAGAAAGCAGTGAAGCAGGTCAATGTTTTAAGAGAAAAAATAACTGCCAGCTACCATGCTCAGTAGTATCTGGGACCAAGAACATCTGCATTCATATGTCAGCTGCCTATGAGCAGCTACTGATCGCTGTCAGCTGGGAGCTCCTCTGCACAATACTCCCTGCACTGAAGGCTGCATTGACCACCGATGAACCCAGGCAGGATTCCTGAGGCAGGGCCCTCTCCAAAACATTCACAGTCTTCTGACATAGTAGGTGTCTCAGAGATGACTGCCAAAGTCCCTACTACCAGAAGCTGAACAGCAGATTCTGTAGCCCCAGCAGGCTTATTTCTTACAGGATGATTCTGTTCCTCCAACAGGGTATTTCCTGGTTCCCTTATTTTGGCATCTCACTGGCAACCCCTGCCATTTTCTCGTGGTCCTTGGCAGCAGTGAATGAAGAGCCATGAATGAAAAAAGAGTTTTCTGTGGTGAAGACAAAGACAGAAGAGCTCTCTCAGTGATTCCAGTGTTCATATGTGGTGCCTATATAGCCCTTAAACTGCCTAAAAAGCGTGTCAGGCAGCCTGAGGAGGGATGGTGAGGATAATTCCAGAAAAGGGTGATATGTTTCTTCAGCTATAACCTGTGGCAGTTAAGGGGAAGTTACTACTGCAAATGGTTATCATGTCCACAGCAGCTACAAGAAAACTGACGAAAGCTTCATGGGTTTCCTCTTGGGTTTCTTACTCATTTCCCCAAATGTGCTAGGTCTTGACTCAAGACAGACATGCCCATTTGCAGCCAAGTTTGTTTCTGGTCTCCCCCACAGACTGTCTCCCTAGATTCTACTCACCTGCATGCTGGTCCCTAGTCCTGGTCCTGAACTTGCCTTAATCCATGTCATTCTATCCCCATTGTCCTTATCTTATTCCTAAATCTGCACCAAACCCTATTACTGTCTTTTTTTTTTTTTTTTTTTGAAACACCTCTTTTTAACTTAAATTGATCTTTATCAAAATGCAGTTACCTTTTAATGATCTCTCTGTAAATATCTACTAGCAACTCCTCCAAGGCTAGACTGAAAAGGATTTTGAGGGAGTGAACCTCAGTAGCCACTCCTGACTCCCTGGATAGGTTCACCTTGCCTTGAGTGGGTTCATCAAGGTCTGAGGTTAATAAAGGCAGGATCTAGAGACATAACATGCAGATGAGGGCTGAAACCAGCTTTTGGGTTAAGGATTCAAAACTAAGTTGGCAAGTCTGAGAGACCCATCAATCTCAGTGCCAACAACTGGAGAGGTCCCATCACACCCCATCACTTCTGAATGATGATTTGCTGTGTTGAGCATGCAGGTAGGTTATCAAGACGTGCTTGGCCATGTATTAACATCTCTGCTACGCTCAAACACACCATCAAAATTTATCCAGAGCCACGGAACATGCTGAAATACCTGAGAAACAAATCTGGCCAGCAGGCATGGAAAAGTCCACATGTATGCCAACTCTCCAGAACACGATGGTTGCTTCCAAACTGCCTAGCAGGAGCTCACGAGCTGTTGGAGAGCCCCAACCAGCTCCCAGCCTTGGGCCAAAACTCTGCCACAGGCTGCTGGTGTAGTATAACAGCAGAGATGTTGCATTCCTGTGCTGGGAGCCTTCCCTGGCAACACCCCATCTACCGCTCCAGCCTCTGCGTCTCAGGGTGAAGAGCCAAGGCTGACAGAACTGAATGTGGCTTTTGCAGAAGCAATTGATCTG